AACGAAATTAATTTTATCCTCGTCGACGTCGATAGATAATCTCTCTCTCTCTCTCTTTCTCGAGTGGATGGAAGCGTATGCGAGGATTTCGCGAGGGGGGCAGGACGCGAACTCGAATGATAATGGTGATGGATCGCGGTATTTATTTGCGAGTGACGCGAAAAATTATACGGTGGCGAAGAAACGTTGAGGGGAGGGAAAAAGGACGGGACAGGAAGGGAGAGGGGAGAGGAATTGCAATGGTCTCGTAACCTTTTTTTTCCCCCCCATTTATCACGCGGACGACGACGCGGGGATGAGAGAATCCTCGACCGCGATGTTTTACCCCCTCGATATCCCTTCGACCCTTGATCCTTCTCCATTTCGATCTTATATATCCATCCGTTATCTTTGCGTCGTTTCTTTCATTTTTTTTTTTTTTGAAAATGCGTGTCGAGAAGAAAGAGTGAATTTTTTGTGGAAAAGGGAAATGCGATCGAAACTTTTCTTTCAGTTTTGATGTTTGCGGTGGATGAATCTTAACTGGGTATTTTTTTAGAGGTGAGAAATATGGGATGGAGAATTTTGGGATTAAATAATAAATAGATAATGTAGAATAACAAGTGAACTATCTAAGTGATCGATATTTTTTTAAAAGATAAATTAAGATTTAATTTAGTATAGATGTTTGAAATTGTTCGAGGATTTTTATTAGAATTGTACATGGGTGTTTTAAAAATGAAAGATATAGGGTAGAGAACATTGGAAATAATAAATAAATAATTCTAAATGATCGATTTACTTTTTAAAAGATAAATTAAAATTTGATCTAATAGATAAGTGATTTTTATAATGGATGATCTTTCAAATTGTTCGAGGATTTTTATTAGAATTGTAATTGTTTTAAAGATGAAAAATATAGGTTAGAGAGTATAATAAGAGAAATAATAAATGGTTAAATGTAGAAGTAAGAATTGTAGATAAAAATTTTTGAATCTGGAATAGCGACGAGCTCTCCAAGTGAACGATACTTTCTAAAAGATAAATTAGAATTCAATATAATATGGACAGGTGACATTAACAAAGTAAACATTTCACGCAGAATGTGTCCGCGATCGATTGATATAAATTTTAATATCGATATCGCGCCATTGGAAAAGTTTCCACCAAGTTTCCACGCTAGTTTCCGACACACGTTCCGTTCCCTTTACACGTATTAATTCTTGATACATCACTGACAGGGAATATATACCGATTCAAATACACAAAAATTGAATCAAATTTTTCTCGTGAGCGAGATTTGAAGTTTGATAAAGGATCCCCGTCTACGTGGAATCTCAGAAGAAACTGGAAATCATTTCTCCTATTAGACAGCCCGAGGGAACTCGGTACAGGTTCACTCGGTTATTTACCCGATCTCATCACTCCGAGTTCGCGTCAGCCATTTCTGACGTACAGAATATGTCATCTATCTATTCCATCCTCGAACATCTCCCGCTTCTGGCGGGATATCTTGATACACGAATTTTATACGCCGTTCCAAACAACCGTTTCTTCTCAATTTGAAAAATCCCCCCGCATTTCAATATTCACATACTCACTTGCTCTATCAACATCACCTCTCGATCTTCCAACCAATTCTAACTCCTACAAAAATCACTTGTCTGCATTAAATCAAATTCTAATTTATTAATTTTAAGAAGTAACCCGATCGGAATTGGAATTCTTATTCTCACGTTTATTACTTCCAATATTCTCTACCCTATATTATTCACCTTTAAAACACCCAATTACAATTCTAATCCTCGAACAATTTCAAGATCGTTCATTATAAAAATTACTCGAACAGGAGACAAAATACATAAAATGTGTGAAAATTCGCAATCGTGCTTTCTCTGTTTTTTGATTTTCGTCAAAGAAAAGAAATTTGCACGATATATTTAAAAATTATTCAAAGTACTTTGAATAATTTTCAGAGAGAGAGAAAAAAAGTTGTAATATATCTTATCTCGTGTGTTCGAATTTCCAACCACCCCCTCCCCTCCATCACTCGCCCTCTCGTCCCCGGTGCCGACTTGAACGGCGCTCGTTGTGATTAATTGGAACACATTGCACCTGGGAATCGCAGGTGTAATGAAAGATAATCGTTCCCGCCCGCTCGCCCTTTCGCCGCAGTTACATCGCCGCCGACACGAAACCTCCTCCTCCCCCCCTCTCTCTCTCTCTCTCTCTCTCCTCT